ATGCCAGGCTGTTGATTATGTGCTTGAGAATTGAAGCGTTCACCACATTGCAGGATTGCTGAACGATGTTTCTATATCCAAATCAAAACCAGGGATGGATTTATTGAGAACTCTTTTACTATTTGTTTGCCAAACCCAATAACCCTAAGCAAGTTAAATATTCCGAGATACTTGCAGTTTGAAGTCCATTGTGCCAGCCGTCTGCAAAGCCCACATTGATGTTAAGAATCATAATACCCAATACCCTGAAAATTTTATTCGGAGAAATGTGTCTACTTAAAGGCATTAGCTCAAAAATTTACAAATTCTTTCTCGCAGAATGGGTTTAAATCGGGAATTATTTTAAGTACAATCCGGGGTTGCATATGAGTTTACAGTCAACCAGCTGTATGCTTTCCAGATAGGGTTAATCCAATACAATTTTTTGCGGTAGAAGAAGTCCTTTGCAAACCCATACTTTACTGTGTTTGTGTTTATATTGTGTGTTTAAAACATTGACTCACCAGGTCGTCATCGGACGTATGATATTTGTAAGAAATAGTTTATTCAAAAGGAGTTTTTACCTCATAATTATCCGAATTTGGAAGCAAATGTGTCCGTCCATGCAATTAATGGCGTTCAACATAAGATAATCATTATTCAAAATGCGGCAATCATTTCACATGTAAGGGGTGGTATCACTGAATGCATATTTTAATCCAAGTGAACATCTATACGAGAGAACCATGAGGTTAATATAGAATTAAAATTTAAATTGTATTATATAGAAAATATGAACACCAACAATGACCAGGGAGAGGACCAGCACAAACACAGTGAACCACGACGCGTGTGCAAGCAAAGAAGATCAATTTTAGCGCTCTCCGTTGAAGTTGTCGAGGCCCAAATCGATGACGATAATGAGAAGGCCGATAAGAAGGAAAATGAGGCTGGAACCGATGGCGAGGCGGAAGGACTTTCTCATGAGGAAAGAAATTGTACTGAAAGAGTTCCCGTTGCTGTTATCAAGGTCCTGGCCGATGAAGAGACCCAGCTTAATGAAATGCTGCAGACTTTAAAGGCCGAACTACCCGTGATGGATGTTGAGACGAAAGGATGTCCGTATGTGCCAGGCACGTCCACTGAAGCAGTCCCTGTTGCAGTAATAAAGGTACTGCCCGATGAGAAGGCTAGGCTAACGGAAATAATGCAAAAGTTAAAGGCAGATCTGCGCATTACCAAGACAGAGAATGAGGCAAATGGATGCCCGCATGAACAAAAAAAGTTCATTTTAGCAGTGCCCATTGAGGTAATAAAGGTCTTGACCGATGACAAGGCTTTGATAACTCCAATTCTGCAGAACTTAAAAGCAGAGGTACCCATTTTCGATAAGGATACCGGAGCGAATGTCAAGTCAGAAGGATGGCCCGGTGAGGATCGAAATTCCACTGGAAGAGTTCCTATTGCAATTGCTGAGGTCTTCACCGACGACGAGAACAAGGGGGCCAATGCGGACGATAAGGAAACTGGGAGGGATAGCGTGACAGAAGGATGCCTGCATGAACAAAAACAGTTCATTTTAACTGTTCCCCTTGCGGTTTTAAAGGTCCTGCACGACGAAAAGGATCAGATATGTGCAATTTTGCAGAAGTTAAAGGCAGAACTACACACTGCCGATAATGAGGTCGCGACGGATGGCGAGTCGGAAGGATGCCCGTATGAGCAATTAACGTCGACCGGAAGACACGAGTGTTCTCTCCATCCGGAATTAAATGCAGAAAATGGTCGTAGCCATAGGAGAGGCTGTATTCCGAAGATGCGAAAACGACTTAATATGCTCATCCCGAAACGGTTTAGGAAGAAGTAACTTGGAAGAATTTTTCTGCAACCATTTCCATGATGTTAAGTGATGCACTTGCAATTGAGCCGCACACCAGGCCTGCTTCGACGAACTTTTTCTGGTTTTATTGAATTATAAGACGGAATGATGGCCATCATATGTTTTGGAGTTATTCGGCTACCCTGTTCTGAACTTTCGTTTTTACGCACTTCCTACTATTCTTGTAGAATGAAGCAGAACATTTTAGTCGCCCTATTGATTCAATATTTCTGTTATATTTTCGCGCAATCTGTAGTCGTGACGCACAATTTCGACTTTTTTCTGAGTTTATTTGTGAATTTGTAAAGGAGATCGTTATTTTTGTGGAAGATCTTTGTAAAATTACTGTCTTACCCGTGTAAACGTTTGTTTTATCTATCTGCTGGCAACTTTGACCTGGATGACATTTCGCAAAAGTGTTACCTTCACTTTATCTTCTGCTTTTCATTCTTAAAATAACTAAAACACTTTATCTCACCTTATCGGGTGCTCGTTTTTTGTTTTCTTAAAGAAAGGTATGTTTTGTGATTTTACCTGTCGTGGACCTAAGTGCAATTAATAATTTTTATTTCCAAAAAAATATGACTTTTTCGTTTAATACAACTCAAATTCTTAAGAGTCAGTATTCATATTAGACAAGCCTCCAAAACATATCTTTATATAGTCTGTAGTTGTAGTTGATGCCCTATTTTGAGGGTGACAGTACACGGTTCAAGGTATGCTAGAGAAGGCCCCCTCGTGTCTATCGGTGGACTTAAATAAGCATTAAGACGGGTTGGTTATGTCGAACATCCTTGCAGATAATACTAGAACTTGGTTTGAGTTGACGGGAATCATTGAAGCAAGTTGATTTGCAAATGATAGGGAAAGTAGAAACACAAGGTCGACAGCATTGATAAAAAATGGCTAGAAGTGTAGAAAGCAAGCAAGTGACTGGAAACCGCTGATTTAGAAGGCAAACATTGCAAGGCGTTTCCTGACTTCTGTTGGAACCAGTCAGGTTGGTTTTGGTTAGCCAATTCTGCAAAGAGTAATGACCCGTGAGTACTGTATTATTTGAGCGCGCTTCGCATTTCGTCCATTAAGTAGATGTGTCTGTAGTCCTGCGTTCGGGCTTACTACATGTAAACTCACAAATTTTGTAGCTTTTTTTACCAGGTGCAAATTTTAATGTTGCGTATGCGGCAGAATTAAATGGAAACACAAATGTCCCGAGTGCTCATCAGCTACGTCCTCTTGTTGCGTAAAGTTAGGAACAAATGACAGTATACATTAATTGAATTCATACAAAAGAGGTCAGAGAAACATGTCAGGAAATTCAATTAGTATATTGGGCTAATAAGTCTAATTAGTAACTTAATTAAGGAAAACACTGTGGACAGTGAGATAGGGAAAAAATGTAAAGCAAACATGCGGGCGGGGGGAGGCGTGAATCAGGCAGCAGGAAGTTACCATGGCAAATCATGGTTTACATCATGCTTCAGCTGTTTGCATCGACGAGGTTTTGGCCGTCGTATAGAAGACGCCTCCAGGTAGCACAATGTACGAGTTGTTCATGCTCGAACAAGTACTCGGCATGATGTTTTGGGTTTACAGAATGGTCCGTATCCAATAGGTATTCAGTAATGGAAGAACGGGGAGTCATATTGCCGTGTTTTAATAACCAACTCGGCAAATGCCCTCTATCTCTTTCTGCCAGTTGCCGTTGTACACCCTATGTACTTGCATCCGCAAATGTATATAAATTTGTAAACAAATTTGAAGTGGCGAACAATTGCAAGGCATCCATTGTAGCTGGAATCGGTAAGTTCTTTGTCGAGTTGCAAAATACTAGGTCAGCAGCAAAGTAGGCCTATTCAACGGTATTGCGTAAGCGTCTCTTGATTGTGTTTCAGGTGTTGTGACCCTTAAAGGGCAAGGATATGAAGCATACTCACTAATAGGAATTCCACAACAGGAGCAACTTTAATTCTGTAGAGGTTGCAAGTCGTCCTTCTACAAGGGCTGCTAAAATACG